CTAATGGTAATCAATGAAACTGGGTTGTGGAGCTCAGTGGCTGAATAAGCTCAAAAGTATGTGGATATTGCATGTGAAAGGATCTCTTCATGACTATTGCGTGTCGACGTATGCGACATACTCATAACCATTTGGATCCAATCATTTTCGTACTTTCTCATTCAATCCGATTATAGCAGACTTGTGACTTCTAACTCCGGATTATAGATCACGGAAAGACTTTTTTGTTACAAAGATTGCTGTACCGTGACTTGTTTGACACGGTCTGCGCTCAGCCTAGTGTGAAATATAACATGATGATATGTCAATTCAAGTCAAGTCAGGTCAGTAGTAGCTTTATGCACCCGGATGGGTGAATTTTCAGCACCTACACCATATTTTTGGATTCAAATTTACAAAATCATTACATAATTAAACTGAAAGCAGTAGATTGTGTTTGTCAATGAAGCAAGCATTTTCCGCAATTCTGCGGAACTTTTCTCCTTGTCAATAAGTAGACGTGCTAGATATGGCAGAACAGAATTACGATAAGTAGAGGTACGTGCGAATAAAAGTTAAAAGATTGAGCGGGTGGATGATGTAAATACAGCTTTTGAAAATTCGTTGTGTAACGGGTGGTGAGGGTCTGAGAGTATTTTGGCAGTGAAACTTCCGCATGCTTGTAGTTTTCTGTCTATGATAGAATCCGCGAGTTTATCCCTGACAATTCCACTACATTTAGAGATGTGCTTTAGAGATCTCGCCAGTAAACAAAAGTCTTTCTTCAACATACCGGGAAAAATCACTGGGGAGCAATACAACCAGTGAGGTGGCACGCATGCATTCACAAACCTAACAATGAGCTTATGGGGAACAGAAAGTAGTCTTAGTCGGAGTGAGAAATATGAAAGTTTTCTAATCTTACAGAACGTGTTTTGAACATGCAGTGACCATGATAAATTGTGCGATAAGGTGACGCCAAGGTATTTTACTACTGTTGATTTCGATACGGGTTGATTGGCAGAGGGTGGGGAACCTATCTATGAAGGCTGAATACAGTACATCGGCCAAGAGGGAAAACACAACGTCCTGACATTTAGAGGCATTCAATGAGAGGGAACGGGACAAGGACCAAGTAACAACGTCGTTTAGTTTGTTTGGAATTTCCAAAGCCTCTTCAGGGGTGGATGCTTTGCAACATAAAACAACGCGTTCTGCGTATTTACAGCCAATGAGTGCAGGAGGAATGGGAAATTGTTTGACACATTGAAAAAAAATGGGGAAAATAATGCACTTTGCAGAACACCAGAAGAAACTGGGTGAGTGGAGGACTTTTTGCCGTTCATGCACGTAAACTACCTTCTATTTGTGAAGTAATCGCAAATCAATCTTCTAACGTTTGGGTTAATATCACTTTCGGTAATCAGGTTAAGCAATACTGATCGATCAAGACTGCCAACAGCGTTTTTGTAGTCTAAGAACATCATTCTGACGGTCTTACTTTTCTTATCTAGTGCCGAAATTATTGGATGAACAAGGCATACAATAGCATCAAATGTTGAGCTCGAAGAGCGATATGCAAATTGATGTATGTCGTCTTCCTGAGAATCAATGACAACCCACGGTAACAAGCATCTCAAATAATTTAAGCATGACTGACGTGCTGGCGATGGGACGATACTTCCCAGGTTCCTTTTTTGGAACGCAAGTTGTCTTGGCAAGTCTCCAAATATTGGGGATTTTTCCGCTTGTCAGACAGTCATTGAATATTTTAGACAATGGGGCTGAAAGGGTGTCCGCACATACCTTGAGTACTACGGGTGATAGTTCATCCGGGCCCGATGCTTTATTCAACTTTGTTTTCAGTAGCTGCTTCAGGACTGGGGCGGGTTCGATAGTTGGTGTTGGCATAGAGCTGACTAAGTCTGGTAGGGCAGTGTACTGTGGAACTGGACTAAACTCAGAATCTAGTCTTTCAACTTCGACAGTTTCCTTTTTGTGTTTATTGCTACTGCCACACAATCGATTAATAGCCCGCCACATGCAACGACAACTAGAATTTCCCAGGATAGTGTTGATGTACAATTTGTTCAATCGATTTATTTCAGCTTTGATCGAAATTGTTAGCCACTCGACATAGATTCTTTGTCCTTGTTTATAGGCTTGTTCTTTCCACCTGCGTAACTGCTTGAGTAGCGGTGATGAATATCTGTCTTTCTGGATAAGGACAGTTTCTAGTGGACAACATTGGTAAAAACAGAAATTAAGGTAGTCCGTAACATGTTCATAGAGGACAAAAGGGTTCTGATCGGAAAACACCGAAAAATCTGTCGTGGCAATCACGGACCTAAGCCTTTCTATGTTCTCTGATGAACAATTTCTTTGACTCCCTACCTTGGAAGGCCTTCTTAAAAATGTGTATCGGTTAGTTTTGCTGTATACAGTGGGACATACTTTTATGATACTATAATCTGAACTGCTCAGAGGAGCACGTTGAGGGACTTCAAAAAATTGCGGTGTTTGTAATAACGAGATCCAGTTGTGAATTGAGTCTGGTAGAAAAATGTACTAAATTTTGTAGACCCAGTGTGGTGAGGAATGTCTGTTGAAATCACCAACGAATATACACAAAGAGTCACTTGTTTTTGATATTATGGAGGTAGAAAAATGTCAGAAAGGCTATTTATGTCAGCCACTGATATTGTTGGTGACAGGTAAAAGTTTCCAAGAAGTATGGAATGAAACCCACCCCAAAAACCGGGGTTTACATTCGATGACGTGACAACTGATTTTATCCGTTGAGTATTCGTAGATGACAGTGGTTGATTTATCTCAGTTTTCGCTAACGTAACTTGCAACGCCGCCTCGTTTACGGACACTCACGGGACGGTCAACCCGATACAAGTTATATCCATCCACTTGTACGATTTCACCAGGGATTTCTTCGTGCAGCCACGATTCCGGAAGCATAATAATTCCCAGGTTTTTGTACTCCTTTTTCCGTGTGATGTCTACTACCTCCTCGACTTTTCCTAACAGAGAACGAACATTGCTAGTTAAAATGAGAGGAATTTGCATTTAACTGGTGCTGCACTGTCTGAGAGCGACTTGCCAACCTGCTTGATATTTTCTCCTTCCGTTTTGTGTTTTGATCATCCGCTTGAACTTATTTCTTACATAGTTTGAATATTTCACAAAAGGCGCAGTTCGCGCGATAACATAACGATTTCATGAACGTGCTCGTGTAGGATATCATTTGGTGTCCTTGAAATTGATAACGATGCGTTTTGATGATAAATAGATCCACAAAAGTGTAAATATGATTTTCGAGATAAATGGCGCGGCCGAATTCTAAAACCCCGCTCCAGTGGGTTACCGGTTATCACGAATGAACAGTGGGTCCTCCCGACTGCAGTTACCCCGTGTTGGATATGTGTGTGTTACACGCGTGAGAGAGACCAGAACATGTGCCAAACTAATCGCCGTATAGTATTTATAACAATGAAGTGTCTGTTATTTGCTAGTGGTTCGAGTATTAGCAGGTTAGCCGGCACAGAACAGGCGATTTTTCTTGGGGATTAATTAACTGGAGCCTTAACCTAGGCAAAGCCCAACCCGCAAATCAGCTAGCCGGTGTATGAAACCTGTAATCTGTTGGAGGCAGCTGTTTAACTCGTCGAATCACGCTTCATAAATGGGGTCAAACGTCCAACACACCTTGATAACTAATTGATTTGGTGACCACTGCTACAACCAGGAATGTGAAGGTATTTGGTTCGTTTATCTCCTCTGGGTTAGTTTGGAATCAGGATTTTTAGCCAACTCCCTTGAGTTAACTGCCAGTGATTTACAGACCCGTTTATAACCTCAGGTGTTGACTTTTTGTTCTTTCACTTTGGTTACGTTACAGTCACGTGTAAATGCCTGACTAGTAATTGTCAATTTCTCCTAATGGTGCTATCTTTTAACCTATAGTCGGTCAGTCGCGTTTTTCATTCTTTGAATAACTACGACGTTTTCCCTCAAGTTTTTTTGTGAATTCACTAGTCGCCACCGAAAGCCTCAGTATAGTCGGGGTGGTTGTCTGAGGTTGTGAATGTTCACCATTCCCTTGCACCTCGCGAACTACTCCTATTCGACCAAGCGTCTCAAATAGCCTCTGATGAGGAAACCTTCATATGACGGTGTTTTCCCACCCAAGTGAGAGGACAAAAGGCGAACATCCGGGGCTAAAACCGGGTTGGTGAACCATTGGCAGCTCACCTAAGGGAGTTGGCTGAAAGCCCTTATCCCAAACCAACCAAGAGGAGGTGTACGTACCACACACCCTCCTGCTTGCAGCAGTGGTCACTGGCTCCATTGGGTATCAAGGTGTATTCGGTACTTTGGACGTTTGACCCCGTCCAAATGGTGTATGATCCAATGAACCGGCCCCCCGTGGACTGCGAACCCTGAGCTCCGTCCTGTTGTCTTGCAGGTCTGACTTTCTAGGCAAAGGCTTCGGGTGGGGACCCCGAGGTTATCCCCCTTCCTCGGTCTGAGTAACCAAAAAGTAACACCCACAATCTATGAACACATTCTTCAGGTTTCTTTTTGTTCATATGCTGTGGCACATTTGCCAGTTCTCTGTTATTGGTTACGTGTTGAAGTAAATAATAATAATAATTGTAAAAAGCTAGGGAACTAACAATAGAGATAGTTAAGCTGACGATCACGTATCATATGGGTTCGATCTGCTTTATAATTTTTTTAAATTTTATCTATTTGTACGGTCTACATAACTTGTGTGCGTGAATAGCCAGTTGTTTTCTCGGTAACATCCAACTGAGTTACTATTATTGTAGTTTTCTCTGACTTGTTGGCAAATTCATTTGGTCTGTAACCTTTCGCATCTGACTGCAACGAATTGTGCTTCGTCACCATTCTTGTCCACAAGCCGCGTAGTAGAAATATATGCAAAAAAATCCAGTCCCGCATTTTATATGGCACGTACCATCATACTCCTGTGAATAACGTTCAGTGTTGTGTTACCAAGTCAGTACACTTTTTTGTTCCAGCAACCGGACAATTCACATCAATCAGTATCTCATTTGGAACCGGTGAAACTGGACGAACGGAAAGAAGTTCCTGTTGGAAGTCTGGGCCTCGGAACTGCACTGGCAGTCGCTTACGATCTGTATAATGATACGGGAATAGCCTCACAAATGGCCTCGCACATATATTCGCCACAACTGACTAGTTTTATTTCCCTGTCCTCAATGAAAGCCCCTGCAGCGCAAGTCACGCAACATCTCACACCGTACATGCGCACCATGTCTGCCGGTTCCGAACAACCTTACCTCATATGTCCCTCTCAACCGTCCCATTTGCCCCTCAACAACTCCATGGCGTGGCCGGTGTCATCGTCGTCTTCTTCAATTATTACTCAATCATCTCATCATTCAGAAGCCTACCTGACTCCAATCTCTGTCGGTGACTGTCCCCCGAAAGCATTTGCTGTGATCGCGGATTCAAATAAGGTACGATTTACCAATCCAGCCTCAATCCCCAAGTCTACGGACTACTCGATGCATCAGGTACCGGGTGCTTACGTGCAATCGGTTGCCCCATGTTCCAATCCAGTCACTATTGTGGTTGATGGCAATTATCCTCAATCCTCGTCTACTGCCCCACTCTCATTTGGTCCATCCTCATCCTCTTGTTCCTCCTCCTCATCTTCCGCATCAACAGCCTCATGTGCCGGCTCGGTTGTGTTCGGCCCTGGTAGCGCGGTGGCACCCACCACCACTACCACTTGCATGATGGTCCCATCCGATATGGCTTATCCACACATGGCTTCTGCCTCTTCCGCTTGTGTATTGTCTTCCACTTCATCCCCAGTACTTCCTCCGATTCCACTCCCAAACACTGCTAATCAAAGGCAACAACAACAGCAAGCCACGGAATTGAATGGCTGCACAAATGCTACCAATGGCAACACAAACGACTCCAATACGAAATCGTCTTCCGATTCAAGTGCCTTCTCTGCGGATGATAGTCTTTACGAAATCACAGAAGAAGAAATGCGAGAGATAGATGCTTCGGTAAGTCTCAGTCTATCCACCGTACCATCCCACTTTTTTCATTTCCTTTCATTCTACTCTGCGTCTTTAGAAACTCGTTCAGTTTACCACGATTAGCTGAAACCGTTTCATAACTGGGTTTGATTAGCATCTCACGTGTGATGTTTGTTATGAAAACCAGCTAAAAGTGAACTATCGACGACAACCATTGAACGAGGGGGATAATAATTTGTAAACAACTGTCGATGAGATACTGATAACTGACTTGACTCGTATCTTCTAAACATAAAATTCACTTGTGCGAGTCCATAGCGGTTACTGTGCTTTTGACAGTGTGTGTGCGAATGGAACAGCCCGAATCATATATCACAGACGGTGATCACTTATTGCATTGATCGCTATTGTGGCTTGTGGGAGGCAAAACACATCAAAGTTCGCATGGAACCCCGGTTTTTTTCTCCGGCTTGTTTACCTCAAGTTGTTCATTACAATACCAATCTGTTTCAGTTGATCGATCTGTTATTCAATAGATTATTCATCCCCCGGATCAACTTATAACCACGCTTATCGTTTGAGTGACATATTCCATTCGTTAGACGTGCCTATTATTGCCCACCCATACTATGCGAATGTGAAGCAACTAACCATATTGTCAGTAAATATGATCTAGATGTAATTTTTTTGCACACGATGTGTTCTTGCTCACATCCTTTTTGACCATAACTGGCATGTAGCGACCGTTTGATATCGTTTTTGCGAACCTTCTATTTCGTATCCTGTTGATGAATACTGGGTCGGGTGTACTTCACGATCACTGGTACCGATAGCGCAGTTTGACTTTCACCTATTACCCCTGGTTCTCGCATCGTATTTGAAGATTGGGGGCGCTTAACATTCAATGTAGTGGAATTGAAGCACCGCTGAAGCAAACCCACTGTGTCGCTTTTTATCACAAAACCTTTATTGCAATATTCGTAATTAAAAATTTAAACCTGGAGACCTCAAGTGGAGAACCGCATAGATTTCGATGTGATTTTTTCGTCTGATACCAGTCGGGGCCTAAAAAACCAATTTGCGAGTGATGAGTATGCAGCTCATTCGGTCTTTTTGCTATATCGCTCATCAGACGTTACTGCGGTTCTGAAGTTTTTAATAGTTTCATTTATGATTCATAGACACTTCGTCCAGCGGTGGTAATAATCTACAAGCGTTCTGTGTTGCTCATCTCTGGCACAACTTGGAGTGCTTACTGCTCTGTGTTCTCTAGTAAACATAACATTCCGCTCCAAATGACATGTGTTTGTTTGTCTGTTCTTGTAATAATGGGAAGAATATTGTTCAATTCGTGACGTGATATGGCAGATAATAAATTTGGAGCTACTATGTTTATTTCTGTGGGTTTCTACTGACAGTCGTAGGTGCCCTGAACTTTCGATATGCAGTGCATTTCGCCCGGATAATTTTACATAGTTCCTTATCCTATTTAATCAAACGTCATTTGCTGTGTCCTTTGATTCATGTCCTCGATGCTCAGTTTTCGTCGGTTGTTCGATCATTAGTGTCTTCTTCCTACGTCGTATACGCAAACAATCTGACCAATAGAATGTGACCTGTAGATCACTCTCGGTTTTCTGCTTTGATTTCACGAGACTCTTGTTTTGTGTGACAGGACTGTCATGAGCAATTGCAATTCGTTCTCTCTGTTTCTCACCACTCGCCCTCACCTATTTTCACCTTTTGATTGGGCTCTATTTTGTATTACTCGTCCGAGTGCCTTGGTGCAACACATGTGCTTGTACGGACCGAGTCGACATTTGTTGCTACCCTCCTACACTACTCNACACTACTCCAACAAACATCTGATCACTATTAGTAATAGGGTTCCATAACAATCTGTGTTAATATCGGAATGAAACCCCAAGAGATCGAATAGCTGTTAGGTTTTTCCTAGCTTTCAGTTCACGTCTCCTTATACGTCAAAATTCATTTCGAAATCCAATTTAATCCTGCTTTGCCCTCTTATAACCAGCATTCAGACCCTGAATTTTTCGAATTGAATCATAATCTTAGAGGTTATTTCCAGGATGAGTTTAGACACTCGCAACAGGCTTTCCAGAATGAATTATGCTACATGTCTGAACAAAAACGAAACCCGTTTGATCAACTGCGTCCTACTTGTAAAGGTCCCGGGTTCGATCCCCATTTGGGTTGATGGATTCGCACTACTGGTGAGACCCTACAAGGTCGAAACAGCCGTACAGTGACTCCCAGTTTTTGTGTTCGAATTTCCTTTACTCCCTTTTACTACGGAATGCATCAACAAAAATTTAATAATGATAATATTTTAATGATAGACAACACAATGTCCCGAAATCACCGTTATTTCCAGTTTCAAATGTTTAACCTGTCCCACAGAGCACATGATGAGAACATGAAGTGTGTTTCTAGTCTTCGAGCATCGTCGGAAATTAATTCACTGGTATATGCGTAACGCTGACAGCAGAATTCAGATTGACTACACAGCAACCAAAACCGTGGCACGAAAGCGTATGATTGTTTAAACTGAAACTGAAAAGTTTCACACCATTTTAGTACGATCAATATCTGCAATGCGTCTCAAATTTTCTTCAAGGTCGCATCTTAAGCTCTTACTAAACCAATGGCACATACATTTCAGCATGAGCCTGTGCAACACTATTTGCGTTAGATTCATAAATACTGGATTTTGGATGTCTGGCTATTCGACTAGATCTGAATTTAATTCTCAAAAGGACCTGGTTCTGCCAAGTTCAGTCTTCCCCATCCCTGTTTGGTTTACCTGCCAGGACACTCCTGAGATTTGACGATTGCTACATGCCACATACAGTCACACGGTTCTTCACCGACGAAAAGACCTTTTCATCGGTGCTGCGGTAGATGTATGTTGGTTAATCCTTAATTCTTCCTAGGTGATATATACATCTAGAGCCGAGTTGTGTTGGTAAATCGCGGTCTAATGTAAGATTCCTAGGCTAGAAACAAACAAAGTTTGGTGCCTAATAGAACTCCAAATATACGCTCTTGTCCAAAGGTCTGCTCGCCTAAGTCAAACAACAGCACTCGGGTTATTCGGTGAGCATCTCTATCAGCTAAGGAATCAGAGGACTACCGGATAAATGTCATTCAAAATCACATAAGTGTGCTGTATTGTGTTGACGCTTTAGTGAAATATATACAAACCTTCAGCCAAAAAGAACACCGGCACAAAAGAAAAAGGCTGGGGGTCGAACGTGCAAAAATGTGAGTTAACTACGAACTGCATGAGAAAGTTCAGAACGAGCACTCCTTGTCAGTCAGTATCCGGATCAGATGGGGTACCAAGGCGTTTCTGTAGACAGATATCCGAAATGGGATGGGCCTGTATTTCGAACGGGTGGAGTGGTGGGATTTGCATGCACACAAGTCCATATGTAAAGGGTGGGCGCTGTCAGAGAAGTTTATCTGCAAGCTTCATATGAACATCACAAATATTGTTTATTAGGACAGAAAATGAAACTTAGTGAACATGACTGCATTTCGCCAGGCGCAAGAGAGAGGTGACCAGTCGCAACCCGAGACACCCACTCTCAACCATACCGAGGCATTCGGGGGCAGAACGAAAAATAAAGCTTGGGAAACAAGGCTTATCATTGTGAGGTCAAGCCTCAGCAGCTTAAAGTCAACCTTCAGCAAACCAGGGAAAATCACAACGGAGCAGTAAAATGGTATAAGGAGAACACACTGTTGAACAAAAGCTCCTTTCACCGACAAATTAGAACAGAAGTGACACAATCTTCTTCTATGAAAAGGAAAACCTTTCAGCTTGCGAGCAGCAGTTTGGATATGTAAAGACCAGTGAGGGTTAGTTTCAAGTGTGACATCCAAGTACTTCATATGGCTGACCCTACTCATCCGCTTTCCCTGAATCTGGACATCATCTGAGGAAGATAGAGAACGTTTCAAAGTAACAGCACATAGTAGGAATCTTTCAGGATTAAGATTGAGACCGACTGAAGTGGAATACGTAACGACAAGCTTGTTTTATATGCAACCAGTTCTGATTGGTTAGATAGGGAACAAATGATGATATCATCAGCCTACATAAGTAGGGGTTAGTGTCACTAATGTAAGTCGCAAAAGAATTGTGTGTGTGTGTGTGTGTGTGTGTGTGTGTGTGTGTGTGTGTGTGTGGATTATATAGTGCTTCAATTTTGGTGGCTGAAGAGACTGTTTCCTCCGAATCTCGACATTTCTGATCACATTTACTGATTCGTTTCACTTCCACCGGGAGAGGAG